GGAACTGATGAGTTTACTCACTTGTTGTTGACATGTTGTTGTCTGCTGAACCTGATTTGTTGCTGTCATGTTTACGTGACGCATCTGGAGCTCGGATTCCTCCCAGTTTTCTCTGCAGCTCCTCTGAGGAGCTTCAGGCTCAGCAGCTGGGCTTTAAAGCTGGTCAACTTGTCCTAAAGCTCAAAGAACTAAAAACGTCTCCAGAAATTTCCTAGGAAGTTATGAAGTATGATCTGTTGGAGAAATGTTGAAGCCTTGGCTGAGAAACACATCAAGGGAAACATCATGTTTTTGTCCAACTGCTTTTCTATGAGGAAAGTCGAGTTACTGGTATTATTGGCATGTAAATTCATTTTAGAATGGTTTATTTTACCTCAGCTCATGCTAATTTATCTGACCATTTATTGGTTTGTTATTTTATTATCGCAAGCTTTGTTTTTCTTAATTTCTCTTTTTTATGCACCTATTTAAGATTAGCTCATTTGGATTTGTTGGAGTTTACTTCAGTTTAGTTGACCTTATTTTAACATTTATAGATCTGAGCTAAATGTTCATTTTGTTATTCTCATCTCCCTTCAGATTTTTCTCCCATTGAGTTTGATTTGTCCGGCTGAATTTCAACTGGGATAAGCAGCAGATAGAAAGAGGATTCATGAAAGATTGACGTTGTTTTATCTTTGCGGTCTGCCTGTGGTTTTGGCGACGGCAGCAGAGGAAGTGAACGAAGCCATTCAGTCTGTGTTGGTCACGCTTCCAAATACGGGAGAATTAAAGTCAGAGCAAGAGGAACGTTTCAGACATTTTGTGCCTGATAGAGATGTCATGGCTGTACTCTCCAAGGGTTTGTGTGAAGTAAACGCAATTTCCAGTGAGCTTCATCTAGCTAATGCTAACAAACGTTAGCTATTAGGTAAAATCGGATCCAATCGTTTAAAGCTTCAGCAGAAGTCTCCTGGAAGAAATCACTTCTCAAGATCCCAGGGTTACCAGGCGAGGTTCAGCTGAGACGCCTGATGTCTTGGTGAGTCCTTTAATTGGAAGGAGTCCAGAAAGTTTAGCTCAAACTGGAAAAGCAGCAGCTCCACTCTGAACTCAGAGTCTTAAGTCTGATTTAAAACACCAATCATCTAAATACCAGAGGAATACATCATACACCAGGGTTTCCATAAACCCCAATGTAGGAAGGAGGCCATTTGGTAAACACCAGTAGCAAACAGACATGCAGGCCGTCCGCCATCTTGCTACTGAGCTCTTCTTCTGTGTGTGTAGCGCCCCCTATTGATGTAGCATCCTTGGTTACCACAATGGCGGCTCTCAACAAAACACCCACTGTGGTTGCTGTAGCTTTGTCTTCAGGTGTTTGTCACGCTGAAGAACCGGGAATACCACAGCGACCGACTGGAACCGGACTGGAACCGGACTGGAACTGGACTGGAACCGGACAGGAACCAGACTGGAACCGGACTGGAACTGGACTAGACTTCGGTCTTCCAGAGGAAAAGCACAACATCAATTCAAAATCACATCCAGGAACCGAAACAGGCTCCAAACCTCTTTGGTGGAAAGTCCAATCAGAAACCTTCAAGGAATCGCCATCCGGAAAACCAGAGCAGTGAATCTTTTTTGTGTTTGTCTCGTCTTCATCTCAAATTATTGCAACACATGGAGTTCTACAGAAACCCGTTTTCAACTCATTCATTTAAATGTGATGTGTGCAACAGGGAGACATGCAGGACCTGCAGGAACAAGACTGAAGGTCCCTGCAATAAGGAACCAACGTCTGGCCCTGAACCCGGATTCACAAACAAACTTCCAGCCTCATTGCAGAACTCAATCGAACCTGGTCAAAGGTTGTACATCCCTCTGCAGTCTGGTTCCCCTAAAGGGTTTCATTCCCACCAGCCCAGTCCGGTCCACTTTAACCCGACTCCAGGCTGGTTGGACTCAGAGCCACAGCAGCTGGAGGCGGAGCAGATGTTCTGGTTCCAGTAGAACAGGGTCGACCGGACCGTCAGGGGGATTAATAACCTAAAAGTCAATCCTAAATATTTTCAACTACTTAATCTACTTCAACTCATTTACATTCTGATTCCTTGGATCAAAGGGAACAGCAGAGGCTGTGATGTGTGAGCTAAAATAATAATAATAATAATAATAATAATAATAATAATAATGCTCTCAGTGGGTTGACTTTCTCCCCTTGTGGTGTTTGTAGAGTTTCTGCTTTATGTCAGCCGTTGTTCAGTCAGAACATGAGATCATCGACAAACATGCAGAAACAACCAGGCTCTATTCAGGCAAACACCGTGGTCCTCTGCCCCACTGGGGCCCGACCGGGGGCCGACCGGGGCCCGACTGGGGCCAGACAGGGGCCAGACCGGGGCCAGACCGGGGCCAGACCGGGGCCCGACTGGGGCCAGACCGGGGCCAGACCAGGGCCCGACTGGGGCCAGACCGGGGCCAGACCGGGGCCAGACCAGGGCCAGACCGGGGCCAGACCGGGGCCAGACCGGGGTCCGACTGGGGCCAGACCGGGGCCCGACTGGGGCCAGACCGGGGCCAGACCGGAGCCAGACCAGGGCCAGACCGGGGCCTGACCGGGGCCAGACCGGGGCCCGACTGGGGCCAGACCGGGTCCAGACCGGGGCCCACCAGACTGGTGTCAGTCCCACAGGTTGATTCCTGCTATCAAGCCTTTGCTTGTTGGAATCCATCCATTTTCCAGTGCCTTCGCTGGATGTTGGCTCTGCTGGTGGGAGGCCAGCAAGCGAGTGCAAACCGCCTTAAACGGGCAACTTTCTCCTGCTCCGTTTGAAGCATCATGATGTTGTTAGGAATATACAGTGGGAACCATGAAGGAAAGAACTCAGGTTGTTCTAATGTGGGGATCATTGTTGTAGCAGGCGGACAGGTACCGACAGTAGAAAACACTCAATCTGTTTCCCTCCTGATGGTTGACCCGGTTCTACTGGAACCAGAACTTCTGCTTCACCTGCAGCTGCTGTGGCTGTGAGTCAAACCAGCCTGTTCCCCTCCTGGCCTGTGGGGGCGCTGCACCAACAACCACTGCAGGAAACAACACTAAAACCTCTGAAGACGCTGAGAGCAACTTCCACCGAACCCAAATCGAGGTTGGGAGGACTGGGGGTCAGAGGTCAATTAGTGTTCACGTCTCACCAACCTAACCGGACTTTGACTAGACAGTCGGACCGCAGTCAGGTTAACATGGACTGAACAGTTGGTGTTTTTTGCAGCCTTGGTGTTTGGACAGAGGTGGAGAAAGTCTTGGCACAACTAATAGCTGAAAGCTACAGCTCATCCTGTGTTCAACAGAAAACCATCATGTTAAATGATTTTATTTTTCTTTTTGCACCAATGTCCTTCACACGTGAATGAAACGTTTAGAGTTGATCCTGCGCCCCTGATGAAGAACGGTCTGAGGTAGTTTCTTCCAACAGCTGAACAATAACAGGAACTGTTTACTGGTCTAATCGCAGCGATCAGGCCTGAACCTGGTGCTGCTTTAACACCCGGCTTATCGGGGGTTTACAGCGAACACCAGCCGCCGGCTCCATTAGCACATCATGGATGGAAAACATTCCAGCAGCAGCTTAACGGCCGGCGCTGTGTTCACTTTATCTCACACAACCAACTTATCGGCCACAAAGTGATCCACGTTCTGTGGAATGCTACATATAAGACCCTGTTCATTTACTTAAACAACAACCCAACCGGCTGTCTGCAGGACAGGAAGGAAAAACACTCTGAGCTCCAACATCGGGAAACATCAGGCTAAAAATATAGGAAAATATCAAGCAAAATAACTATTTCTAGAATGCATGTAATTAAAGTATCATAATACTTATTTTATTTTGACATGGCTGTGTAGTTATTAAGAGGGTAAAATCAAGAAAGCCAAAAAATGATTGAAACAGATAAAATCTGTCATAAAAACATTTAAAATAAGAGCTTCACAACTAATTTGATATAATTTTCTATTTTAAATTGAACTGTTTAATATTTAACTCCTTAAAGAAGTTTAGCTTCTTAGAAACCTCATGCTAACGTGGCACTAATGCTAAACCAGCTAATACAAAAAATGAAATTTATTGTCATGTACGTTATATCAGCCATAAAAAGTTTAAACTAATAGTTTTACCATTAATTTCACAGAACAATATGTTTTAAATCGACCTGTTTTAACTTCCTAAAGAAGTTTAACTTCTGAGAAAATCCAAGCTAATGTGGCGCTAATGGCTAATGCTGCGCCAGCTAATATAAGAAAAGCTGTTTATTTTCACGCACTTATTCCATATCAATAGATGTCTTCATGTTTCTTCCAACATTGTGACAGAACCATCTGAGACCGAGACTCATTGCACCAGGAAACGTTTCCTGTTAGCCTGTTAGCCGTTGCCCGGGTTACAGCCCTGGCAGCCATCTTGGTCTGCTGCTGCTGTAGCTCATCTGCTTCAGAGCTGCGGCTGTTTGCATCGTAACGAGTGTTCCAACTGCGACGCGACTAATTTACAGCTTTTTCACATGTTAATTCACAATTTAACAGTTTAAATGCTGTTAAGCTTTAGCCACATTTAGCTTATGAAAAACCAACAGCATGTTTGTTTCGGATGTGGCTCCCTCACGCAGAACCTTTTGACACAGAAGAGCATTTTTAATTGTTTTTCCACAATTTGTTTTTTATAAAGCAAAAGTCTAATAATTATAATAAAAACGTTTTTTTTAAAAACTCAAAGGTCACCTGAGGCTTATAGTGAAGTGCGTCCTATAGGTGTAATTTTACAGTAGATATCTGAGCCATTCTCCTCTGACCTCTGACCTCCACAAAGACGTCCTCCTTCTTGGACCAGTCAGTAAACGACTGGCTGACTTATTACTTATCTTAACAATCATGGAGAATCAATTTATAGAAAGGAAAACGACGTGTGGAAGGAAAATTAATAATAATTTCAAAGCAGGAAACAGAAAAGTGATAAACTGACCTTTAGGATCAGCGAGGCGACCTCTCTGGTTCTGGAAGATCGTTAGTGAAGAGGAGGAAGAGGAGAATGAAGAGGTCAGTGTGTGCAGCTTCCTCTTCTCTCTTGTTATGTGCTTCATCAGCAGGGCGGCCATGTTGCCTCCTCTTCCTCCTCGTGACAAAGAGTTTCTCAGCAGAACAGACTGGGCCTCCCTCAGACTGACACACACACAGAAATATTTCCATCACAAACAGGAATCTGGATTTTAATATCAAATCCAGATTAAAACATTTTAATATTATCAAAATGTTCTGAATTTTTGGGTTGAATATTTCAAGCTTTTATTTTTTGCTTACAGAAAATGAAAATACAAAAATCCAGATCTCAAAAAATCAAAACATTCTGAAAAGTTAAGAGTATTCAAAGAAAGTTGAGTGGAAGGAAATAGTATGTACCATCAACAGGGACAGCAACAGTCATTCAATAATCTGTTGGAGCTACAAACATTTTATAACAAGCTTTTTTTTGGTACTTTTTCATTTTATCTAATCAATAATACACTAAACAATTTCAATTTTATTAACATTTTTGTAGAAAATGGATCTTTAAACTATCATAGGTGAGAAACATGAAGAAGTCCCAAAGTTTCTATATTTTGAGGAAAATGTTTTTGGTTCCAATTACGACAAAATGAAGATGAATGCATAAACTTTGTTAGTAAATCTACTTGTAGTACCTAATATTTTATGAGCAGAAGTTATTGATCTGTAAAACATGTAAAACATGAAAACGTGTCCAGCTGCATCAGCAGTTAGAGCCTCACAGCTTCATGCAACTGATCAAATTATCAATCATCTAATATTTACAAATCACATCACACAAAGCAGCTGTGCAGCCAAACTCAAATAATCCCTCCAAAATAAAGGTAGATGCAAAAGCAATTAAAACAACAAGCTAGAATAAATTGAGGATTCAATTTATGATGCAGTCGGTCTTTTAAAACAGTCCAGGATGCTGATGTATTTCTACAGTTTAACTCAGGCATCAGAAACTAACGGGCCAAATGTTGATCATTTACAAGAAAACCAGTTTTCAGCCAACAGCTCTTTAAGAATCCCTCTGCTGGAGTCAAATCCTTATTTTTATCTGAATTTCTTTGTTTTTTTACCAAACAAACTGAAATGCTGTTGTGATGTTTTCTGTGTTGGGGCAGCAAAAAGTGATTTGAATGACTCACAGCATGAAATTGGTCCATTCATCTGAAAATGGAAGGTTCTGGACTGAAATGGAACAGTCAAAGTCCAAGGAAAACCTCATAATAAGTTTCATAAATCCTGAATTACTTCCAAACGTTTCAGACGGACGTTTTGTCCACAGTTGGTACGTTGAAAGACAGAATCCCTCCAGATCTTCCCACACGCCGTCATGACCCAGGCTCTGACCTCTGACCTTCACCTCTGACCAGTCAGTCAGAGCATTGAGATTTGGTTCATTCATCTACATTTCGCACTCTGCTGCAGAGAAATCCCAGTCAGCTGGTCGACTTCATACAGACAAACAATCGGGTCTTTCTTCTCTTCTGCTTGACGGAAACTCAAAGTCGAGTGTTTCGGTCCAACCCTGCAGAACTACTGACCTTTGGTCCTTTCGGACCCTTTGGATCTGCAGCCAGACACCGCAGCTGTCTGTTTCAGTCCAGAGGAAAATAATGAGGTTTACTGTATAGAACAGGTGACAGTCTCCCCCTGCTGGCTGAACAGAAAACTGCACTGAGCTGTGAGACGAACTGAGACAGACGAGGGAACAAGTGGACAGGAAACAGGACAGTCACAGGTTTGAAAGGTAGGAAGACACTGAAGATAAAAGATGATGAGCAGAGGTCAGAGGTCACGAGGGTTTGACTTTTACCTCGGGATCTGCCTCTTCCTCTGCTCTGGCCTCCTCTCTGCTCCAGTCGGATCCTCTTTAACTTCCAGACTTGCTTGCAGCTCCAGGGACTCGGATCTCAGCGGGTTCCTGTTTCCTCTGTTAGTGTGAGGCGTCGACTCCAGAACATGTTCTGAACCCGAGCTTTTCCTGTCTGGATCTGGATCTGCCCTCATCAGACCTGTTCTTCCAGAAGACGTTGGGTTCAGAAACCTTCGGGTAACGTCTCCTGGTTCCCCCTTCATGCCTTCAGCTTGACCTGCTAGACGTCCAGACTCCAGAGGACCAGAGTCGTTACCGTTTGATGGCTTCTGAAATGAACCTGGAGGTTCAGGTTTGTGACGGGACCCGATTGGCCCAGCTGCTGTGGTTGTGGAGGCAGGACGGCTGGATGTCTCTGGAGGTCTTCCCACTGGAAGAGGAACTTTGGAAACTTGGCAACGGATCCCATAGGAAGCTTTCCTGCACAGACAGTTGTTGGGAAGTCCACAAGATGATCCGTTATGGCAGGGAGGAAAACATCTGGCTGCAGGAAAAGAGGACAGTTATAATCCAGACTCCAGCAAAAGTCAAGCAGGTGGAAGGATGACGGTTTGGGAATGTTTGCTACATAGAGACACCATATCATGACACTTGGCTATTGGAAATGAAATATGATTAACAGTCACAGAATCTCTTAACAGGGCAAGAAGGTTGGAACATGGAGCCAGAAAGGCAGAGCTGGGAATCCTGACTTTAAAATGAAATGAATCCCAAAGTAGAAAGCAAATGCTTACGCTTGGTGCACCTCCTGGTTTTAGGGGACACTGTCCAGCCGAGACAACATCGACCTCCACAAACACGAAGTCTGCAGAGAAAAGGATCATTTATGGTCTTAAAACACTTCAGTTATGAGCAGTTGGTGTGAATCATGCCTCAACCTTCAGGTCAGAGGCTAAAGCGAAACCTGAGTGTCTGCAGACTGACGGACCATCAGCTCAGAGACCGACAGCCAGAATGAGCACATGTCCAAACAGCGCCCCCTTTGGGCCGAGGAGAAAACTGGGCTAAAACTGGAATCACAACCCGACAAGCACAGTATGAGACACTGCATCCATCCGTCATCCATCCATCTGTTCATCCATCTGTTCATCCATCCATCTGTTCATCCATCTGTTCATCCATCCATCTGTTCATCCATCTGTTCATCCATCTGTTCATCCATCTGTTCATCCATCTGTTCATCCATCCGTCATCCATCTGTTCATCCATCTGTTCATCCATCCATCTGTTCATCCATCTGTTCATCCATCTTCATCCATCTGTTCATCCATCTGTTCATCCATCCATCTGTTCATCCATCTGTTCATCCATCTGTTCATCCATCTGTTCATCCATCCATCTGTTCATCCATCTGTTCATCCATCTGTTCATCCATCTGTTCATCCATCCATCTGTTCATCCATCTGTTCATCCATCTGTTCATCCATCCATCTGTTCATCCATCTGTTCATCCATCCATCTGTTCATCCATCCATCTGTTCATCCATCTGTTCATCCATCCATCTGTTCATCCATCTGTTCATCCATCTGTTCATCCATCCATCTGTTCATCCATCCATCTGTTCATCCATCCATCCTGCGTTGTTCTTCAGATCCTCTCTTGGGTTCTGCTGGTTCCGGCTCACAGGTTCTGGTTCCGGTTCTGTCCCTGAATGCGTGGCGTCCATGTTGTTGTTTCGGGTTCATGAGTTCGGATCCGGCCTCAGCAGAGGATTTAGTCATTACTCACGGTGTGCTGGTCGTATTGAAGCGGAGGAGGCCAGCTGCCTGGATCTGAACTGGACCCGGTGACCGCAGAACCACAGACAGTTTGACCTTCAGGCTCCCGGGTCGCGGTGGGAACGAGCTGTCCGGTTCTCTTCCGGGCGACTGGACTGGCAGGTCCATGAATGACCCGAGTGTGTGAAGCGGCGGACGGAGGAGATTCGGGCCTGATGTCTCTGGCCTGCAGCACAGAGAGCAGTGGCGCCTCCTGGTGGAGGAAGGACGCCAGGAAGCAAGAGCTCATCTGTTGTCTGACCACAGAAGGAGGAGATGTTTGTCCAGTTTGTCCAGTCTGTCTCCGCTCAGAGGAAGCAGCTGCGACTTTAACCTTTCAACGCCTGCAGAGCTTTACGCTGCCTCGGCTCCTTGTCTCTCGGGTTAGTTTCTGCTGCCCGTGTCTCTCCATTCAAACCTGAACTCAACTAAAAATAACAAAATTAACTCAAAAATATTTAAAATAAACACCAACAGACGAGTAGATCTGCTTGTTGAGCTTTTTCCAGGAAGCGAAGCCATAGCAGTGAGAGCTAAACAAATGAACAGCAGAATTTTCCTTTAATTTCTCTCCGCACCTGCAGCAGGTCAGATGATTAAGCTGCAGCAAAACAAAACGCATGAGCCATCCGCACTCTTCAGCTGTGAGTCTCAGATACAAACAGAAGAAACTGAAAACTCTTCAGCATCAGAATAAGTGAAAGACACAAGAAACATAAACATGATTCATAATTCATGTCCAAACATTGAACAAATAATCAGCTCAGAAATTAAAGGATTCATTGAGCATACTAAACAAGATTAAAGGTGTTCAGATAATAATTTGCTGTCCATCAGATGATGTTTTATATTTAATAAAGAAAAGTTACAGACTAAGTTTTATTTCAGTCCCGGTGTTCCTGCTGCTGCTCACCCGCTCAGAGCTGCTCTCCTCCGGGCTCCACCTGCCGGTTCTCCGGGGCTCTGGCTCCGGAACCCGGTCCGGACTCCCTGCGGGTCGGCCTGCAGCTGTTCGCCGGGTCGCGGGCCTCCGTCCTCCGGCTGCGGCGCGACGCTCCGGAGCATCCAGCCGGTCCACAGACACAGGAGCCCCAGCCGCATGATGAGGGCCCCAGACTGCGCTGAGAGCGGAGCCCGGCCTCAGTCACCTCCTGGTGATGCGTTCACGGCCACCGCTGCGGTGGGATAGTCTGCACAGACAGGGCGCAGCTCCAGGGCCGCAGCAAACTGAGCCAGGCACCAGGGCCGGACCCACATGTCAGCACCAGATTCTTGACCATTTCTAGCGACTACCAAAGCTAATGCTGTTAGCATCATTTGTAATTAGCTCAGGGGTTAACCCGAACCCGAACCCGAACCTGAATCCTTCAAAGGAGTGAAAGCCGAGAAATAAATCATTTATAACAGAGTAAATAAAGTGTGGAATTTCATTTTATTGGAAAGTAGAAACTAAATTTACAGAAAACAAGTTGACAAGTTTGATATTTTATATCAGAGTGGCAGCAGATCAATGTGTCACTAAATAATATAGACATTTATTTCCAGCTTTTAGTCTGTAATGTTCAATGTCATTTATGTATGTCTTTTATTCTGAAAGAAACTGTGATTAATTTGAACTGCAAAATGTTTATTTTTTTCTTTAAACTTTTAAAGACTTCTATAAAATGCGCAAAAATATTCATTTGTAAAGATATTTCTTTTTTAATTTTTGAAAGAAACTATAGTAATTATAAAATACTAACTTTTATTTTGTAAGAATCGTTGAACATTTTAATGTGAAGGTTTAGACTATTTTTACTTTATTTTTGAAAGACACTTATAAAGATGTAAATGTAAATATAAGCTTTTATTCTGAAAAAAGTACTTTTTTCAGTATGAAAAAAATGAAAAAGACCTTTTGCAGATCGGAAGCTTTTATTTTGAAATAACTTCAAGAACTCAACGAGCTTTTATTTGGAAAGAAATGACCGGAACTTGTATTAGCTCCAGCTAGCTTTATGCTAACCATTGAATTCGGTCCGCAGCCTGACTTCCTGCGCTAAAGCGGGACGAACCCGACGACCTGGTCACTATTGGACCGGCGGAACCGGTTTAAAGTATAAACGGGTTTGGACCCGAGCTGTTTGTGGACCGGGTCAGAACTCTTCCACACACAGCGGAACCCAACTGAAGGTTAGTTAGCCGAGCCTGTTAGCTGTTGGGCTGTTCCAGAAGAAGAATGGACCTGTTCGACGACCTACCAGAACCGACACAGACGTCCGGTGAGTCCACAGCGACCGGCTGAGATAAGGCACGGTTCGGTACCAGAACCAGACCGCGTTTAGCAGCCGGAACCAGCTTTTCATTGATGCATCTGGTGAAAGAAAACATCTGCAGTGGACTCAGAACCAGAACCTCTGGTTCTGCTGCAGAAATCTAATGATGAACTAACTGATCTACAGCGAATCCGGAACCAAACTGAGTCCAAACCAAAGCCAGTGATGGTTCTGCAGAACGGAAGTGTTAACGTGACTTTAGCTGAAGAAAATCAGATAAATCAGTTTGGGTAGCTGACATATCGTTATCGGTCCGATGTATCGAGATTGGTCCGATGTATCGAGATCGGTCCGATGTATTGATATCGGTCCGATGTATCGAGATCGGTCCGATGTATTGATATCGGGCTGATAAGTGAAGCTGGGTCAATAGTGATGTTTATTCCCATCATGTTGCTGCTTTTCTGGAGAGAGTTGGTCTGTTTGTTTGGTCACATGACCAACAGGGAGGTCTGTAAGCTGGTGGTCACATTATTTTGATGATGTTGAAAGGAATCAAAATATAATTAATATCGGCCATATATTGGATATCGATGTCAACTGAAGTTTTGGTATCGGTGCAACTCGAAAACCTGCATCATGTGGAGCCGAATGTGAGACTCTGCACTCCGACCCTGAGCCGCCAAGCCAAACTTTGAAACTGAGAAAACAATTCAACAGAAATATCCAGAATTGTCTTCAGTGAAAGAAAAGATTGAAAATTTGTTTTAAAGATGAAAAAGGTTTCAAGCAAAAAACTATTTTGAGATTGAAAAAGATATTAACAAAAAGATTTGAACCTGGTGGAAAATTGGAATGAAAATTTGAAAGAGACAAAAATGAATTGAAAAACAAATTTGAAGCCAAAAAGAAACAGAAAAAAAAATCCAATTCTAGTTTTTTCTGTAAAGAGATTCTATTGAGCTGCTCAGCTGTTGATGGTCAGACCAAAATAAGCTGAATTCAGCCAGTTGATGCTATGCTAATGTTAGCTTGGTGACCTGAATCACATTCTTGTCTTTAAACGTCTTCTTTGTCTCCAGTTGCTCCTCCAGCTCAGCATGAAGAGGACAGAAGGTTCAAACGGAGGCGAGACAATGAAGAGGAGGAGGAGGAGATCAAGAAAGTTTGTAGAGAAGGTTTTCAGCTGTTCCACCACAATGTTTGTTTTCTTCCTTTGCTCTCATGAAGCTGTCAGCCGCCGAGTGGAGGAGGCGAGGCAGCAGCCGACCCACTCCGTCCGTCCGTCTGTCCGCCGCAGGTCTGCCCCGGCTCAGAGGCTACGTGGCCGCACGGCGCGGCGAGCGCGACGAGATGCAGGACGCCCACGTACTGATGCCCGACATGAGCAGCTGTCTGTCCTCGCTGCCGGGACACGTGTAAGACCGCCTCCACTTCCAGTCTGACTGACTTCCTGTTTCCTGACCTGCTCTGGTTCAGGTGGACAGGATTTAGTCTCTGGGTGTTTCTGTGTCTCCGCAGCTCTCGTGTCTCGTATTTCGCCGTGTTTGATGGTCACGGCGGCGCTCGAGCGTCTCGCTTTGCTGCAGAAAACCTTCATCTCAACCTGGCCAGGAAATTCCCCTCAGGTGAGTCTCACTTCCTGCCCAGATGGAATCTTCTGACGAACGCTTCTTGATGGCGTCTCTGTTCCAGGAGACGCTGAGAATCTGGACAAGCTGCTGAAGAAGTGTCTCCTGGACGCGTTCCGGCAGACAGACGAGGACTTCCTGAAGAAAGCCTCCAGCCAGTAAGACTGGAGGCAAAACGCTTGGAGCTGAAGGAGCTCCAGGGGACGCTTGCTGAGACGCCATCTTGTTTCTGTGAGCAGGAAGCCGGCCTGGAAGGACGGCTCCACGGCCACCTGCGTCCTGGTGGTGGACGACACGGTGTACGCTGCCAACCTGGGGGACAGCAGGGTGAGCCGGGCTCGGCACAGCGCCCCGCAGGGGCCCCGCAGGGGCCCTGCAGGGGGCCCCGCTGAGCAGCAGCTGCTGTGTGTCTGCAGGCGGTGCTGTGTCGAACGGAGGCGGCGGCCGTCGACGGCCAGAGGAAGTCGGTCACTCTGGCGCTCAGTAAGGAACACAACCCGACCATCTACGAGGAGCGCATGAGGATCCAGAGGGCCGGAGGCACCGTCAGGTCAGCTGGCGCGCCGCAAAGGATTGTGGGAGGTTTACCGGAAGCATAGAGGTGATGGTAGCCGTGGGAACAATTTTTACAGCGTCATATAGGAAATATCAATAATATTTATTGTGTATAACAGTAATACTAATATCAGTATCAGCTCACTGTGTATCGGTGCATTAAAACCAATAAACGCGCCGCATCCAGCCATTTTCTCCAAATTCCCTACAGAACTGAGTCATACGGAGCTACATTAGGGCCGAATGGTTTGTCAAAAATATTATCATTTGAAACTAATAAAACACTTTGAAATAAAAGACATAGAATTGAAACTGATAAATTTTATACTGAAAAAATTTACCTGAGAAATGAAATAAAATTTTATTCTGGAAAAGAATTGTATTAAAAATATTATTTGAAAACCAAAAAAACGGATTTGAAACAGAAGAATGAGGGAGTACTGCAGAGACCCGTCCAGCGTAAACCGGCGTCTGTCTGTCCGTCCCACAGGGACGGCCGCGTCCTCGGCGTCCTGGAAGTGTCCCGGTCCATCGGAGACGGTCAGTACAAACGCTGCGGCGTGATTTCTACGCCGGACGTGAGGAGGTGCCAGCTCACAGCCAATGACAGGCAAGAACGCAGCCGCACACGCTCCCTGCTCCGAAACACCGACCGCCTGTTGGAGCAGGGAGGAGATCCTGGAGTCAGGATGATCCACTGAACGTCTTCCTTCTCTCTCTGCATCCATCTTTCAGCTCTGTAGGGTCAAAGTTCAGGGATTATTTGAGATGCTAATCAGCTGCTTACAGTTGTTGCCGTGGTTACTCAAACACAAATCATTTCAGCTGCTCAGCGTCTATAACAAGAAAGAATAGTTTTCCAAACTGGCAAATATTCAGCCAGGAAATGATGAACAAAAGTCAAAAAGAAGAAATCAGAGCCGAGCAGCTCCAACATGCTGCCACCAGGAGGCGATATTCTAGATCATTCTGGATTATATTCTAGTTCTCAAGTTAGAGGAAAAACAAAACGCTTCAAAATCGGGTGGAAAACTGTTGCAAGAGAAACCAGACTAAAACCAGGCAGTGATCAAACATGTTTGTGTTTGAACAGATAATCTCATTAACCCGTTTAATCCCACCGGCAACAATTGTTGCCAGACATTTTTCTAACGTCTAGAAGCTCTAAAGAAAATTTGTTTTGACTTTTGGCAGCCAATTAAAGTTTTAAAATAAGACAATAGTGCGTCTACTCTCAGCAACATCAGTTTGATGTATGTGGTGTGAAAGGTCACATGACCAGATCTCTTCCTGTGACGCTGGAGGTAAACGTCTGTCACTAACCTGAACAACAGGAAGTCATTTTCAACTTATGTTCTGTCAAGTGTCTTCTGCTTGAAATGAAATAAAATTTCATTTGAAGAAAATTGTGTTCATATTTTTATCATGAGACTGAATGTAACCATGGCAACAGCTGCTAGCATTATGCTAGGTGTGTGTAGCGTTGCTGTTCATTCTGTATGCCCTGCTGTTCCCACTCAGCTGAAGTTATCAGATGTTTTAGACCTGAAGGACATTGTGGGAATGAACCTTCACACAGTGTGTGACGACACCAGATCAGGCCACGCCTGAAACCACGTTAGCACACAGTGTAGATCTTGGTCTGGCAGAACATTTGTTCACACTAACATTTTCACCTGACTTTGATGAAATGACCAAATCTGTGTAAATATGAACAGATTAATGTCCTCCAACATTAATAAACCTGTTTTTCTGCAGGTTCATCCTTCTGGCCTGTGACGGTTTGTTCAAAGTGTTTTCAGCCGACGAAGCCGTCAAGTTTGTTCTCGGCGTCCTTCAGGTGTGATGACCAAGTCGAAGCTGTAAATCCGCCTGGATACGGCTCAGGTCTGACAGGAAGTGAGGTCACATAGCTCCCGTGTCTTCCTGCAGGAGGCGAGCGTGGAGCAGAAGGACGAGCTGACGGAGGAGGAGCTGCGCTTTGAGGCGGCCTGTCAGCAGCTGGCCAGCGAGGCGGTGAGGCGAGGCTGCGCCGACAACGTCACCGTCATCCTGGTCTCTGTCTGCCACTGAGCGCGCTCAGAACCAACAGCAGGAGCAGCATCCTGCCAGCTTCACTCTGCATGTCTCGTTTGTCTGAAAATAAAACCTTTTCCTTTATTTTGTGTCCTTTAGATTTTCTGATTGACTCAGATGATGCATTCAAGAAAAAACTTTATAAATCAGAGCTTATAAATGTATGTATAGAGAATTTATATATTCTGGAGCTTTGAAAATGAAAAAAGAAAATTATTTTGAGACTGAAAGATTTTAGGTTGTTAGGTGTGATATTGCAAAATTACATAGAAAATTGTTGCTTCAAAGACTTTTAAGGCTTCTCTAATCATTAAATCCTTTGTGATTTTCTTTTTCCCAAATTAAAATTTTAATGAATCAGGCAAGATTATAAAAATATTTTTGAAATTATATATTAGATTTCTGAATTACATTATGAACTTCAGTAATATTTAAACATGTTGAATGTTTATTTTGTCGTGCTATTGGCGCTCTGTGGCTGCAGTCCCACTCCCGGCCGCCGGGTGTCGCTTTCTGTTGAACCGACGCCAACTAAACCGGGTTGTTATCTGACAGTAAAACGGAGACAGCTGTCAGGGGAATAAAACAACAGAAAGCCCACATAGCTTCAGTTTCATCCGAACCGAACCGGTATGCGGATCGGACCGGGCTCTCACAAAGGCTCCGCGCAGGTTTGTGTCCACCGAGTGTCATTTTAAAGGCACGAATTGCCGGGAGTTAGCGGATTCTGCAACGGAGCTAACAGGCTAACTGCTAACTAACGGTTAGGATGTTGAATAAACTTTATTAAGACTCAGTGACGTTACCAGTGATCCTGTGTGACGTCATGGAATCTCTTTTAGACTTTGAGGAATGCATCAAGGACTCACCTGAGTTCAGGTAAGTTCTGTTTTTACTCAGAGATGATGAATAAATAAGAGATTAATTCAGCTGTTAATGATTATAAGCTGAAGAATCCCAGAACGTGATTCCATGTTACCCTGATGATGATGGTACGTTTTATGTCTTCAGGCTGACTCTGGATCAGTTTGAGGCGGATGTTTCCCTGCTGGAGACTCATCTGGATAAGGTAAGCTCTGGTTTTAATCTGGTTTTTCCTAATTTTTTAACTTTTCTAACGTTAAACCTTCACCTGCTGCTGGATGGACAGTCTCTCTGCTCACTCGCTCTGACCAATCAGGTGATGAAGCTCTGCGGGAAGATGGTGGAGGCGGGACAAGCGTACAACGCAGCCAATCAGCTGTTTCTGAGCGGCCTGGCTGAGCTCCTGTTGTATCAGAAGAAGGAGTCGGTGATGACGGTGAGAAGTAGTTTGAATAGTTGGGACGGTTTCCTGTGTCCGACTTCCTGTTTCCTGTGTCTGACTTCCTTTTTCCTGTGTCTGACTTCCTGTTTCCTATGTCTGACTTCCTGTTTCCTATGGCTGACTTCCTGTTTTCTGTGGCTGATTTCCTGTTTCCTTTGTCTGAATTTCTGTTTCCTGTGGCTGACTTCCTGTTCCCTGTGGCTGACTTCCTGTTCCCTGTGGCTGACTTCCTGTTTCCTGTGTCTGACTTCCTGTTTTCTGCTCCACAGAGCTGCCTGAACCAGTTCCAGCAGGGTCTGCAGGAGATGCTGAGCTTCCACACTGTGAGTCCTCCTGTTGTCTTCTTCTCTGGCAGCTGGAACTGTCTGGCTGACCTCTGACCTCTGCTCCTCAGATGCTGCTGGACCAGATGCAGAGAGCTATCATCCAGCAGCTCTCCAGCCTCAGCTCACAGTGAGTCGCTCCTCATCCACCAGGATCCTGATCCAGTCTTGATCCGGTCGTGGTCTTATGTCCACCCAACCTGAACCAGATCACATCCTGACACAGTCCTCATCGGATCCTGATCCGGTCCTGCTCTTTGTCCCTCCCAGGTTCCGGCCGCAGCTAGCCGACACCAGGAAGGAGTTTGTTCGGATCGGAGAGGATCTGGAGACGGCGGCGGCGAAGAACGCCCAGGTTTCTCGCCACAAGGCGGCCGATGCGGAGCAGGCGAGCCACCTGCTGCTCGCCACCCGGAAGTGCTACCAGCACTTTGCCCTGGATTACTGCCTACAGGTGCGACGCAGACCGGAGGGGGGAACCAAGTCGACATTTAGGTTCTCTTAACTCTGGTTCTGATTCTCTTCCAGCTCAACACCTTTAAAACCCAACAGAACATCGACGTCTTGAACTCTGTGAGTCGTTTCTGCAACGTTTTGGATAATAAACTTTATTCGTTTTGTGAGCTGCGTTAACGGTCTGGTTTCCCAGGTGTTCTCCTTCGTCCACGCCCAGTTCACCTTCTTTCACCAAGGCTTCGACCTGCTCAGAGACCTGGAGCCCAGCATGAAGAGCATGGGAGCTCAGGTTCTGACCTTTGACCTCTGACCTCTCTGGTGACCCCTGTTGGACGATCTGAACTGCTTTTTGTTCCTCAGCTGTCTCAGCTTTCTGTCGCCTGCGCCGCTAAGAGGAAGGAGCTGGAGAACCGACACCTGCTGGTGCAGCAGCGGGTAAAGAGCCGCAAATGAGATGTGCGAACGCGGCGCTGCGTTCCCACTGCTACTTCCTGTTTTTGGTCGTCTACTTTAAGATGTGAGTGGTCAGCAGGAAGTGACGTAGTGGATGTTTCCTCAGGACGCTTCGGGCGAGCCGATGGTCAGCTCGTGTCCCGACAGCGGCGACATCATGCAGGGTTACTTGTTCAAACGCTCCAGGAGGAAATCCAAGACCTGGAAGAGGTACAGAGACAGGGGGCGCCGTTTGGAAAGTCAAAATTAACACCAATAATTTCATAAGAGGAAACACAGGGATTCACCTGTCATACTCCTATTTTCATCATGTTATTTAGTTCAAAACTAAATATTTAGTTGGCAAACTAAGTATTTAGTGTGAAGCTAAATATTTCTTCAGAAAGCTAAAAGATTTTCATCAAACTAAATACTGTAGTTAATTACTTACCTAAATATGTATTTAGATAAAAATTTGTATTTAGTTTTCAGTTTGCTAGCTAAACTAACTAAACATTTAGTTTGAAGGTAAATTTGTGCAGACGTTGCTGAAGCCCTCTGATGTTTCCTCCGATGTTTCCTCTGATGTTTCCTCTGATGTTTCCTCCGATGTTTCCTCCGATGTTTCCTCTGTTGTTTCCTCTGATGTTTCCTCCGATGTTTCCTCTGTTGTTTCCTCCGATGTTTCCTCTGATGTTTCCTCTGATGTTTCCTCAGATGTTTCCTCCGATATTTCCTCTGATGTTTCCTCTGATGTTTCCTCCGATGTTTCCTCTGATGTTTCCTCTGATGTTTCCTCCGATATTTCCTCTGTTGTTTCCTCCAATGTTTCCTCCGATGTTTCCTCTGTTGTTTCCTCTGATGTTTCCTCAGATGTTTCCTCCGATATTTCCTCTGTTGTTTCCTCTGATGTTTCCTCCGATATTTCCTCTGTTGTTTCCTCCGATGTTTCCTCTGATGTTTCCTCTGATGTTTCCTCTGATGTTTCCTCAGATGTTTCCTCCGATATTTCCTCTGTTGTTTCCTCTGATGTTTCCTCCGATATTTCCTCTGTTGTTTCCTCCGATGTTTCCTCCGATATTTCCTCTGTTGTTTCCTCTGATGTTTCCTCCGATGTTTCCTCTGATGTTTCCTCCGATGTTTCCTCCGATGTTTCCTCTGTTGTTTCCTCCGATGTTTCCTCCGATGTTTCCTCCGATGTTTCCTCTGTTGTTTCCTCCGATGTTTCCTCCGATGTTTCCTCCGATGTTTCCTCCGATGTTTCCTCTGCTTCAGGTGCTGGTTCTCCATCAGAGACAATCAGCTGACCTACAGGAAGTCCCACAAGGTAAGATCCTCCCAGGAATCGCTCACCTCCAGCAGATCGTCTGCTGATTCCTTTCTAAAGTCGTCCTCAGTTTAATTTTCTGCACATTTACATTATTTATGATTCACAAACTCTGACCTAATGTAGCTGATCAAACTGAAAATCTGATCTCCTCATAAATCCTGGAAAATGTTCTGATCCATAAACCGCTGCTGCTGATTCACTCACCTCCAGAAATCCAGAATCTGCTTGTTTCAAATCCAGAATCCAGAGTTTAGATCCTCCAATCATAAATGTTAAATCAGGAGATTCTGTGAAATTGTTCAGCCAATCTGGCGGCTCTCTGTCGGTCATGTGACCCGCTCCCGTTCCAGGAAGACAGCGCGTTAAGGCAGTGAGCGGCGGCTCCGTGGTGAGTCTGTTCTCTGACACGTTCAGGTTCTGATGGGATCCGGGTTCTGGAGTTTCATTCAGAACCGGAGGTGCTTCTACATCCAGAGTCAGAGCAGCTGCAGTTCTTACAGCCCAAAACCTGAGAAACCTTCAGCCTTTAATCTCCATGAGAACCATTCAGCTGTGCAAAACGCCTGGGTGGACGTAGCCCCGCCTTCCAGGCGCAGCTCCTCCCACTCTTAGCCAGCAGCAGTTAGCAAACAGCTGCTGAGCTCCTTACAGGAGCAGCTGCTCAGAGCAACACTGGTAAAAACATTAAAGAAGAATAGAGGAGTCATACTGGGATAACTTCCTGGAGGCGGAGCTTCTTAAAGAGACAGGCCCAATTTCAAGGCATTCAATCAGGAAGTAAAATATTTCATATTTATAGTGTTTTTATAAGAAATAAAGATAACAGATATTAGATTATGCTATAGAATGTCTAAGTGGTTGGAAAACACGTAGTACTGCCCCTTTAAATCAAGGATAGAAATAGACCTAAAATCTAAGTGTTGCCTTAGATTTATAATGTATGGATTATTGATCAGCATATTTGTATTTGCTTGATAAATTGATGACGTTTGACAGAATTAAATGTTTGATTCGTTTTTACAATGTAAAACATTTTGAACTTCCTTGTTTCTGAAATATTTTGCACTTTTAAAAGGATCCAGGACGAGTTGAACATGTTGGCCTAAATATTTCCCAATAAGGTTCATTTTGATAACTGGTCATGGATCCCTTTAAACTGGACTAAGTGGACGTAACCATGACAACAGAAAGCCTGTTTCAGAGTCATAGCGACTGTTGTTGATGATGTCACGTGTCCCTCAGGATGATGCTGCCGTCCTGTTTGAGGACCTTCGTCTGTGCGCCGTGAAGCCGGCGGAGCATCTGGACCGCCGCTTCTGCTTCGAGCTGCTGTCCGTCCAGAAGTAAGGCGCCGCCTGCGGCTGCTGCAGCAGCACGGTCCAGCAGCATGCTGCAGCAGCACGGTCCAGCAGCACGGTCCATTGTGCAGGAGCGTGGTGCTGCAGCATGGTGCCGCAGGCCCCGCTCATGCACTGTCTGTGTGTCAGGAGCTGCACCCTGCAGGCCGACTCGGAGCCGCTGCAGCAGGCGTGGCTCGCCGCGCTGCAGGGCAGCATCGACCTGGCGTACCGGGAGCGTGGCGACGCCCGCCTCACCCTGCCGGGCACCGGAGACCCCGTCCCCCTGCCGGCCACACCCCTCCAGAGGCCTGCGGCGCTGGGCGTGGCCCTCGGGGGCCCCGGGAACCAGCGGTGCTGCGACTGCGGTGAGCCGGAGCCGCGCTGGGCCGCAGTCAACCTGGGAGCCACAGTGTGCATCGAGTGCTCCGGGATCCACAGGTGAGCTGGAGCGCTAGGTTTTGATGGAGCCGGGTTCTTTTGGCGATTCTGAGTTTGTGTCTCTGTGTCCCAGGAGCCTGGGCGTCCACCTGTCCAAGGTGCGGTCCCTGACCCTGGACTCCTGGGAAGCGGAGCAGCTGAAGGTACGGAAAGCTGCCAACGGCGATAATGCTCAGAGAGTCAGCAGTGAATTTTGCTGGATGTTCAACTGTCCAGTTCTGAAGCGATGATTGTGATGTTGAAACCCATTTGTAGCCGTAAGCCGCTCGCTCAGAGAAACACGACCCTCCAGGAACTTCCTGTTTTTCAGCTGCTGTGCATTCTGGGGAACGACGTGGTGAACGCCATTTACGAGGCCAGGTGTTCTGAGGAAGGCCGGGTCAAGCCCCGACCCGACAGCCCCAGGTGAGCCGGTTCTGCTGCAGGGTCCGTTCCGTTTCCACCGGTTCTGATCCGAGCCGCCGCTCTGTGCCGCAGGTCGGAGCGGGAGGCGTGGATCCGGGACAAATATGTGGAGAAGAGATTCGTCCAGCGCCGCCCTGCAGGGGCAGCCGGTACGTCCCACTGTCCCTGAAGTATTCGTCCCGTCCGGAGACTTTTGACAGACATTGACACGAAGCCGATGGCATCTTCCTCAGTGAAGGTCCAACCCGGCCCACCGGGTCACAGTCAGCAGGTCAGACTTGCTGCTCTGATATCAGTGTCTGAGGACGGATCTATTTAGTCTAACTCTATGCTTTGTGCTCTGAGCGGCTCCAGAGTTTAAAGTCTTTAGCAAAATAAAACATTGATCTCAAATAAATGTATAATTCAATATATTTCTGTCTGTGATTGAAAATAATAAAAGGTTTGTTTTCTGGTTTTGGGATAAATTTAACCTCAGATAACAGAAGTGAAAAGAGTGACTCAGCGCATCGCTAATGTTCCCCTGTGATTCTGCTGCATCGTCTCAAAAAGGGGCGGGACTCCGACTCTACCGGGCCTCTGTGGCCGGAGACCTGGTTTCCATGGCGACGGCTCTGGCGGAAGGGGCGGAGGTCAACGGCGGCGTCGCCGAGGAGGAGGGGCGGACGGCGCTGATCGGTGCGGCGGTCGGAGTGAGAGACGTTCCGACGGTTTTCTGTCGATCCGATGCGAAGTTTCTGACTCTGACGCTGCGATTCCGCCTGCCGCCTGCAGGGGTCGCTGCTGGCCTGCGAGTTCCTGCTGCTGAACGGAGCCAAAGTCAACCACCGAGACCTGAGGGGGCGGGGCGCGCTGCACGCTGCTGCCACCGCTGGACACACGGGGTAACTGCACCGACACTCACTGGAACACACCGATCCTCACACTTAACGGCCAACACGCCTCACTCTGATTGGACCACACAGTCAGGTGTGTCTGCTGCTGAAGAGAGGAGCCAATCAGTACGCTGTGGACGAGAAGGGGCAGGACCCGCTGGCTATTGCCATGGAAACTGCCAATGCTGACATCGTCACTCTGTGAGTCCAACTTTCATCTTCATCATGTCTTATCTTTAGGTTCTGGATCTCAACTGGTTCTGATGGATCTCAGCTGGTTCTGATGGATCTCAGCTGGTTCTGATGGATCTCAGCTGGTTCTGATGGATCTCAGCTGGTTCTGGTGGATCTCAGCTGGTTCTGATGGATCTCAGCTGGTTCTGGTGTTCATTAGCTCGTAGCTAATCTAATAAGCTCGATAATGAGAAACATTTCCTGTCTGGTGATTAATATTCACATTTCTGCTGCTATTGGCAGCTACAATTACAAGAACCAATCACAGAACACCTAGTTCCTGAGCTCTTAAAGGGATACGCACACTTAAACGGGTCGGTTCTGATGGGTCTGAGCCGGATGTGTTTCAGGCTGCGAATGGCCCGGATGAACGAGGAGATGAGAGATTCAGAGGGAGTCTTCAGCACCACAGGTCAGTCGCCTCGTTAAGGAGAATCTCGTTAACTCATTTCCTTCTTAATTGATATTATAAACTAATTGTGTCATTATACAATCACCTCGTTAAGTAATTGTTTTGTCACATAATTGCCTCAGTTTCACTCTGTCCCTCGTTAACATCTCCTTACCTCGTTAAGTTATTGCTTTAAGTGCCTCATTATTTAATTGCCTGGCTGACTACTTAGCTCGTTAGCTCATCAGCTCGTTAGCTCATCAGCTCGTTAGCTCATCAGCTCGTTAAGCAGAGTCCCTGTTGTGTCTCCCAGGTGACGATGAGACGTTCCAGGACATCTTCAAGGATTTCAGTGACATGGCGTCCAACGACCCGGAGAGGCTCAGCAGGAGGCAGTTCGGCCGAGGAGGCGAGGAAGAGGAGGAGGATGAAGGAGGGGGGCATAAGAGCAGCCACTGCTGACCCTCCAGTAACCATGGCAACGTCTCAGAGACTTTGGACCAAACCAGCGAGGATGACGATGATCAGAGTTCCCAGTTCTGATCCGGAGCGACCCGGTTCTCTGCTTCTTTAGGAGACGGGTTTTTATCACTGTGAACGGTTCAGATCATTTCACCAGAACCAGAACTGGCCTGGAGGATTCACGCTGAGGTTCTGTTGGTCAGAGGAACCCAACCGACCCGGTTCAGCCCAGAACCTCAGCTGGTTGGGTCCAGGAGATTCTGGTTCTGGAAGGAGATCAACACTAACCCGATTGTTCATCTTGTTGTTAATCATGAGAATCCAGAATGTTAGAAACATTTCCTGGTGAATAAAGTCAGAACCGGTTCTGAACGGGTCCAGAGGTTGTTTGTGTTCCTCTGTTTCCTTCCCGCCTCGGATCAGAACCGACTTGCTTTCATAACCAAGCTGCAAAATACACAGGAGGTCTCAGTCTGACACTTTTACAGACTTTGAACTCATCATCAGTCATTTAACAATTTAGAATCTATTCAGAAAAAGCTAGCTAGTGCCCTAATGCTAGTGCGCTAATGCTAGTGCCCTAATGCTAGTGCGCTAATGCTAGTGCCCTAATGCTAGTGCGCTAATGCTAGTGCCCTAATGCTAGTGCGCTGATGCTAGTGCGCTAATGCTAGTGCGCTAATGCTAGTGCGCTAATGCTAGTGCCCTAATGCTGGTGCGCTAATGCTAGTGTGCTAATGCTAGTGCCCTAATGCTAGTGCGCTAATGCAAGTGCGCTCATGCTAGTGCACTAATGCTAGTGCGATAATGCTAGTGTGCTAATGCTTTCAAAGTTAGCTTAATCACTAAATGAAAAGTTAGCTCCTCTCTCTTTGCACAAAGTTCAACATGTGCCACATGTTGAACTTCGTCTTTTTGTCGTATTTAGTTTTATGTGATAAAATCTTCAGCTCTGGGAATATTTAACTTTCTGGAGAGAAGTTCATTAGTGACCTGCAGGAACAGATAAGCTGCTTTTTATCCAGAAAATCATCTCAATATCTGAGTTGGGGACAAACAGGACGTTTTCATGCCCCTGCTGGCAGAACCATGGAAGTCCTGATTACTGCAGCAAACATCCACCGCTGCTTTACGGGTTAAAAAACGAAAGGTAACGTGATAAAGGGGGTTGGAGAGGCAGCCATCTTTTCTTTAAGACACCAGAATGAGTAAATCCACTGAACCTTCATTAACTATGACATGTTTTATTAATGTTGGAAGCAGCCATGAAATGGATTATACTGAATGAAGCGTGAGCTGAAGCACCGCAGGGGGTCTGAGAAACAAGCTGCTTACATTCAATGAACGCAGAAACAAAGTGAATAAATGAAGCAAAAACAGAAACCAATTTAGACGTTTGTCATTTTTATCACATGAAACAACAAGTCCTTCAAGAGATGGTTTGGTTGCCATCTACAGCTTGACCACTAGATGGCAGTGAACACCACAGCCTGCTTCTTTAACAGCAGGAGGTTCCAGGTTTTCAGGGTTGTCGGATCAGAACCTAAACGATGACGGAGGTCAGCTGGATGTCTCCTTCGATCTCCAGGCCGTTGATGTTCTGCAGCGGAGTGAAGCGGTGGCGGTAGGTGTGGGCCTGCATCCCGTTCACCACCAGACGGAAAGCGTTGTTCTCACAGATGACGGTCAGCTGCAAGAAGCAGAGGTCACAGAGGTCATCCCAGCTGCTGTCTGGGTTTTCTATCAGAACTGATGAAGGAAAGTCATTCAAACTGTTTGTTTCCACATTTAAAGATAAAACTTCATTGGACAAATTTTAACTCGGTTGCTTTCCCTGCTGATTCTCCATGACTGAGGAACGTGACTGAAACTGGCAGCACAAGCTCCACACCAGTGATCCCAGTACAGGAGTGGAGTGTTGGGTCCCTGTTGTAGCCGTCGTACCGTGAAAGGCTGCCCCCGGTGGAAGGGCATGCCGCCGCCGCGCTCCTCAGAACCCCACTTGTCCCACTGCTTGGTGTTTCGGACCACAGCGTTCTCGTTGAATCGTGGATTGTAATGCAGAGCGATGCCAGACTGGTGCGTCAGGTTCACGTTGAACCTGAGAGGGAAAAGCTTTTAATGTCAGACATGAAGGTCAAACCTTTCATCTGAGTCACACACAGATTTTCCATAAACAAGGAGCTGCCATGACGCCACTTTGTGCACTGAGGATGCAGGAAGCCGCGACCTACCAGAACTGCTCTCTGATTCTGCTCTCTGATTCTGGTCAGGTTCTCCGGTTCTGCTGACTTCAGACCGAGTCATTGTCTCCTGACAGACTGTGACCGGCAGAACTTCCTGCTTCATCAGCAGGAAGTTCTGCTCCGGTTTCAGGAAACGCCGGACGTCGGTTCTTTTCCTATCTGGTCAATGTTTTCTCCTGAATCAGTCAACATTTCTAAATCCTGAAAATCCGACTGATAGAAACAGGTTTTCCTGAGACGGACTGAGGGACTGATGAGTCCTCATGTCGTCATCTGAGGAACGTTTGCAGGAACAGGATCAGCTCCATATTGTGCTGATGACGTTCATTTCTTTCAGCTTTTGCTAAGTACCTTGTTGGTACAGCGCTTTAGCATTAGCTTTAGATTCTGCTCAGTTGTGTGTAGGTATAGCGCTTTAGCACGTGGTAACGCAGCTAGCTTTTCAGTTAGCGGTTTCCACCTGTGGCTGTGACATGATGAAGGTTTGGTTTCACCTGGTGGCGCTGGGCAGTACGACGCCCTGGATGGTGATGGTCCTGCCGGGCTGGAGTCCGCCGCTGATGAAGTTCTTGTACGGAACAACCTGCAGAGATGGAGAAGAAACTTCCAGTGAGAAAACTCGAATCTCTGAGAGCTAAAACATCGACTGAGGAGGTTCATGTTTCATCTGAACTCACAGGCGCTGCAGGGGGGAATCCAGGCTGGCCTGGGAATCCAGGCTGGGCGGGGAAGCCAGGGTAGGACGGGAAGCCGGCTTGGGTTGGGAAAGCCTGCTGCGGAAACGGCTGCACAGCAAACACTTTGCTTCAGTCCCTACAGCTGCATCACCACCTCAAACTCCCACGCTCCCTGAACGCCACATGATTTCTGCTCACCACTGGAGTGGAAAAGGAAATGGAGGAAATTTCCACTTTCCCAGCGACTGCGATGGTGTCGACCTGCTGGAACGGAACCCGATGCCGGTAGTCCATGAAGTGGCTGCCGTTCACACTGACCTGCAGGGAACACAAGGTCACCGTCAGGACCAACAAGGTCACCGTCAGGACCAACAAGGTCACCGTCAGGACCAACAAGGTCACCGTCAGGACCAACAAGGTCACCGTCAGGACCAACAAGGTCACCGTCAGGACCAACAAGGTCACCATCAGGACCAACAAGGTCACCATCAGGACCAACAAGGTCACCGTCAGGACCAACATCCTGCAAGCTCAGTCTGGGTTTCCACGACCTCCAGTTTGGAGTAAACAGAAAACAGGTTCTGGTGGGGTTCTGGTGGGGTTCTGGTGGGGTTCTGGTCAGGTTCTGGTGGGGTTCTGGTGGGCTGCAGTGCAGACCTGGTAGAAGTCCCGGCTGACGGTGATCTGCAGGGTGAAGTTGCTGCCGCTGGGCAGCGGCGCCTGATGCTTCCTCTCCTCGGATCCCCAGCTGCCGAACTGGAAGCTGTTGGCGACGACGTAGGGATGGCCGCCATCGTAACGCGGGTTGAAGTGAAAGGCGATGTCCGCGCCGCTCCTGGAGCCGCACTGGAGGTTCACACTGAACCTGGGGACACAGACCAGTTCAGACCAGTCCAGACCAGTTCAGACCAATCCAGACCAGTTCAGACTAGTCTAGACCAATTCAGACCAGACCAGTCCAGACCAGTTCAGACCAATCCAGACCAGTTCAGACTAGTCTAGACCAATTCAGACCAGTTCAGACCAGTCTAGACCAATCCAGACCAGTTCAGACCAGTTCAGACCAGTCTAGACCAGTCCAGACCAGTTCAGACCAATCCAGACCAGTTCAGACCAGTCTAGACCAATCCAGACCAGTTCAGACCAGTCTAGACCAATCCAGACCAGTTCAGACCAATCCAGACCAGTTCAGACCAATCCAGACCAGTTCAGACCAATCCAGACCAGTTCAGACCAGTTCAGACCAGTCTAGACCAGTTCAGACCAGTTCAGACCAGTCTAGACCAATCCAGACCAATTCAGACCAGTTCAGACCAGTCTAGACCAGTCCAGACCAGTTCAGACCAATCCAGACCAGTTCAGACCAGTCTAGACCAATCCAGACCAGTCCAGACCAGTCTAGACCAATCCAGACCAGTCCAGACCAGTCAAGACCAGTTCAGACCAGTCCAGACCAGTCGAGACCAGTCCAGACCAGACCAGTCCAGACAAGTTCAGACCAATCCAGACCAGTTCAGACCAGTCTAGACCAATCTAGACCAGTTCAGACCAATCCAGACCAGTTCAGACCAGTCTAGACCAATCCAGACCAGTCTAGACCAATCCAGACCAGTTCAGACCAGTCCAGACCAGTCCAGACCAGTCCAGACCAGTCCAGACCAGTTCAGACCAGACCAATCCAGACCAGTTCAGACCAATCCAGACCAGTCTAGACCAGTCCAGACCAGTTCAGACCAGTTCACACCAGTCAGAATGATCCATGTGAGTGAAGCTAAAGATGGCGGACGGACCTGTCCCCGCCTGGAGTGACGCGCCCGCTGATGATGATGGACTTCCCCTCCTGCAGGCCGCCCTGGATGGATCCGGTGAAGGGGATCGGCTGCAGATCGACAGCAGAGAACGTTTAGCTTAGAGCGGCAGGGCAAAGGTTAAAGGTCACTGTGGGAACTGGCTTCTGTCTATCAGCCTGATGCAGCTGCTCTGCTAATGACTGGCAGGAAACTCAGCTTTCCGTTTCAAATTCCAGACTTCCAGCTGCTGCAGGGACTTTTTATTCGTTTGAACTCTCAGCAGCATCGGAGCAGAAAATGGCCGACAGTTGAGTTTTGTTACTCGCCTGCTTCGATTCACTGCAGGGGGAAATGAACTGGAGGAGGCTGAACGACTCCGTCTGTTCATTGATTAACTTCAGTCAAACTTTCTCTCTGTTCTGGTTTCCGCTCGGTTCTTTCCGCTCGGGGTCATCCGGAGCGCTCTGTGTCGTCATACTGCTACAGGCTGAGCAACAATTCTCCACCTTCACTCACTTTCTTTTCCTACTGCTCTCCTGTTTGCTTTACTTCCTGTTAGCTTCATGTTTTCAGTTATTTTCTCTCTGCATTCTGATTGGCTGATTCCTTCCTGGAAACAAATTTGAATAATTAACTGAATTTCATGTATTGATTGATAACTGGGATGGATGATCAGATTAAAATATGTATTTTTTGAAATAACGTGAATTGATGGATGTTTGGTATGAAGCTGCGTCTCTTTCTCTTCCTTTTCTCGTTTTTCAGGTTGTTTTGTGGTTTTAGCTCCATGTTTGTTTTATGGCGTTGAAAATGAACTTTAATCATTTAATTATGAAACTTGAGTTATAAAAATAATGATTACAAGAATGAGTAGACTAATAATTACAAATGATTTTTTAATTATGACTTTTATTCTCGTAATTATGATTTTGAAGCTTGTTGACTTCCTGCTGAGCTTGTATTTTTTCTTTGATGGCAGTAATGGGCTTCCGTAGAGAAAGAAACGGTGAGAGAAATCAGGATGGATTTCACTGTTTTACTCCTTTATTAATATTTTAATAATACACTCAGATGAACGTGCATTCAGTGCCGTTCTGCTGCATCCGCGGTGCATAAAGCAGCGTTAACGCAGATCCTTCCTGCAGCTGCTGCAGATCAGACATTTACTTTCTATTTTTCCAGGATATCATTCTGGACTCATCAGAACTCCAGCCTGTTTCTGCTCAAACTGAGGCTCTTTTGACTTTTTCTTGGTGACTGCAGAGAAACCAAACTTTTTATTTTGGGTTTTCTCCTTTCAGGAAGTGAAACTCTTTAATGTGCTGAACAAATCAGAGTCCAAATGGTTTCAGGTGTGTTTTGATCCAGGCCCGGTTCTGACCAAAACTGCTTTATTTATCTCCTATGTTAATATTTTTGGATCTTTTCTTTCGGTTTCATCTCATCCTGTTGTTCATTTTCATCTTTCATTGCTTGACTTCCTGTTTTTTTCATTACTTCCTGTCTGATTCTGCAGCTTCACATGAAGGTTTTTGCTCCAACGAATTGCAGAAAGTTTTATTCTGGAAAGTTTGATTATGAAAGTATGAGACAATTTATACGTAAAAATTAATTTGCTTTCAAGACCACATTGTCTGTTCTCTAATTTGGTTTCTTTTGGTCATAAAAACAACATTTAATATATTATTAAACTGTAATTATGCACAAAGAAACAATAAAAAGCTCATGTTTATTGTTTCCATATTTAAATCTGCAGGATGTAACTTTTATTTTAAAAAATAGTTTTTTCCCATAATTATTCAAACTGTTTCCATGTTTGTGATGAGAGATAATCAACGCTGTCATGAGGTGATTGGCAGAGCTAAGCCCCGCCTCCTGGATCTGATTGGTTGCTGTCAGACAGCAGCAGCTCAGGGAACAGGGAGGAGTTTGGTCTTTTCAGATTAAATGACACAAAACAAACTTTCACAACATTTTCAATAAATATGTAAAAAGACAAACAATTTTTATCAAAGTTACAAACTGCAGCTTATAAAAGTTGTTTAGTTGATTCGTCGTCATTTTGATCCAGAGCTTTCAGGAAGATCCAGACCCTGACCCCTGACCTCTGGCCCAGAGTCAGTTATTCTGTTAGCACCATTAGCATAGAGATGCTAATTATTTACATTGAGTGGAGGAAACAGAAACAGAAGCACATTTAGTGTCAGTTTTAGTGTTACATAAATGTTATAATGAGGTTTTCCTGGAGGAGTCACTGAAACGGTCCCAGAGTTCATGTCGGAGTGAGACCTCGTGTTCATAAACCAGCTTTGTCCTGGAGATAAAGATCTGTTTTCATCTCATGTTACATTAACTGATGGATATTTTCATTTCACTCCTTAAAACTCCAGAATTTGACACAAAGTGAAAATTTTCCTCAGGAGGAAACAAAGAAACTTCTGCAGGATTCAGAACCAATCTGAGAGCAAACATCTGGATCAGGGAACATGAAGCATCCCAGCTGTTTCATGTTTCCCCTGCAGGGAACCGAACCTGCAGGGAACCGAACCGCAGGGAACCGAACCTGCAGGGAACCGAACCTGCAGGGAACCGAACCGCAGGGAACCGAACCTGCAGGGAACCGAACCGCAGGGAACCGAACCTGCAGGAGGTTCGGTTCCCTGCAGGTTCGGTTCCCTCCATGCAGCGGATGCAGGAAACGACGCACTTTGCTGTAATAACGGAAACATGAAGCGATGAGAATCAAACTTTACTGACCGGGTTGTAGAACGGAGACTGGTTGAAAGCCATGAGCAGAACCGACACCAGAACCGGGCTGTGGAGCAGCAAGTGTCCTTCGCGGAGTTTGAGGTAAAATGGAGGAGGTTCGGAGGTTCAGCCTTTTAAAGTTTCGGTTTCCCAGCAGTGGGAGGCGTTTCCTCAGAAGGGTCGGTTCCGATGAAGTTACTGGAACCAGTAGCTCCAGTCTGGCCGAACCGTTATCAGCAATAATAACATGAAGCTGCAGATGAATCTGGATGTGAAACCAAATAATTTCAGTTTTTATGGATTTTTCACTTGAGCAGAAAATTCTCATTATTCACAGAACCAGAAGGTAAACGGACCGGTACCAGGACCGGGTTTCCACAGCTGTCAGTAAAACCATAAAGTCTTTATCGCGTCGTAACTCAGAAACCTGGAGAACCGCCTGGCTATTGTTTACCCAGAGCTATGGAACTACGTTGGAGCAGAAACGTTTAACTTTTATCACAATAAAATTTCTGAAAGTGAAAAAAACTCTAATTTGGAAAGTATTTTTGTAATTCAAAGCAGAAACAAATTCATGAGACTAAACTTGGATGAGAATATTCATGACGAGAAAGACGAGATCAAAGTCAAACTAGGAGAAAAGTCATATTTCAACAATATTTTGGCAAAATGAACAATTATGTAAGTATATAAACATCTTCACTGTAACTGCTTAAAAAATAAGAATAAAATTCTGCAATTTAAAAATAATTGTTCAGCTTAAAAATAAAAACTACTAAACTTTGTTGTATTTTTAATTTTCCAGTTTCAAATTTTAAAGAAAGTTCAATAATAATAATAATAATTATATATATATATATAAACTTGAGATTAAAAGTAACATTTTTGGTTTAAAGTTAACCGGCTCTTCTCCACTCAACCAGCTAAGGTGTACTCTCAATGGCAGGGTAATAACAACAGAGCAGACCCACCAAGGCTGGAGACTGAACAATACTGGAAAGGCATATGGGAAAGGGAGGCGTCCCACAACAGCAATGCACAGTGGCTGATCCACAGCAACCTCCCTGAGCAAGCCCCGGTAACCATCACTGTGACAGATGTTCAAGAAAGAGTCTCAGGTATGAAAAATTGGACAGCACCAGGGCCTGACATGATCCATGCCTACTGGCTAAAGAAACTCACTGCTCTCCATGAGCGACTGGCAGCCCAAATGAACCAGCTGCTACAAAGTGGGACTCACCCTGAATAGTTAACTGAAGGGCGGACAATCCTAATCCAGAAGGATCCATCAAAGGGTCCAGTCCCACCCAACTACCGACCAATAACCTGCCTCTCCACAACCTGGAAGCTCATGTCAGGCATCATAGCGGCCAAGATAAGCAAACACATGGATAAACACATGAGCACGGCACAGAAGGGTATCGGTGTAAATACCAGAGGAGCCAAACACCAACTCCTCGTAGACCGCACAGTTGCCCGAGACTGCAAAACCCGACACACCAACCTGTGCATGGCTTGGATCGATTACAAGAAAGCCTATGACTCAATGCCGCATACTTGGATCATTGAATGCCTAGAGATGTATAACATCAACAGGATTCTGAGAGCCTTCATTGCAAACTCGATGAGGCTGTGGAAAACCACCTTGAAGCCAACTGCAAACCACTTGCACAAGTGTCCATCAAATGTGGCATATACCAAGGAGATGCTCTGTCCCCGCTACTGTTCTGCATAGGCCTGAACCCCCTCAGCCAAGTTATCAACAAGACTGGCTACGGATACCGACTCAAAAATGGGGCCAACATCAGTCACCTCCTCTACATGGATGACATCAAGCTGTATGCCAAGTGTGAGCGAGACATCGACTCACTGATCCACACCACCAGGATCTACAGCACGGACATTGGGATGTCATTCGGACTAGAGAAGTGTGGTCGGCTGGTCACAAAGAGGGGGAAGGTGATCCGCACAGAAGGAGTCTCACTCCCAGAAGGAACAATAGCAGACATAGAGGACAGTTACAAGTACCTAGGTATACCACAAGCAAATGGCAACCTCGATGAGGTCACCAGGAAAGGAGACACAGCTAAATACCTCCAACGAATAAGGCAAGTCCTGAGAAGCCAGCTCAATGGCAAGAACAAAATCTGTGCGAAAACAGCTATACCCTGCCAGTAATCAGATACCCTGCTGGAATAATCAGCTGGCCAAAGGAGGAGATAAAAGCCACAGATATTAAGACTAGAAAGCTACTAACCATGCATGGAGGGTTCCATCCCAAATCCAGCACCCTGAGACTGTACACGAGCCGCAAGGAAGGAGGCAGAGGACTAGTGAGTGTGAGAACCACTGTCCAGGACGAAACAACTAAGATCCATAAATACATCAGGGACAAAGCCTCAACAGACAATGTGCTCAGTGAATGTCTCAGACAACAGGGAACGGAGGTCGAGGTGCCAGAGATACCATCATGGGAGGACAAGCCCCTACATGGGATGTACCACCAGCAAATAACCCAAGTGGCTGATATCAGTAAATCCTACCAATGGCTGGAAAAAGCTGGACTCAAGGACAGCACAGAGGCCCTCATCCTGGCCGCCCAGGAACAGGCCCTAAACACCAGAGCAATAGAGGCCCAGATCTACCACACCAGACAAGACCCAAGGTGTAGGTTGTGCAAGGAGGCCCCTGAGACAGTCCAGCACATCACAGCAGGGTGCAAGATACTGGCAGGGAAAGCGTACATGGAGCGACATAACCAAGTGGCAGGCATAGTGTACAGAAACATCTGTGCAGAATATGGACTGGAAACCCCAAGATCAAAGTGGGAAACACCCCCAAAGGTGGTGGAGAACGCCAGAGCTAAGATCCTGTGGGACTTCCAGATCCAGACAGACAGAATGGTAATGGCGAACCAACCAGACATTGTCGTAGTGGATAAACAACAGAGGAAAGCCGTTGTGGTAGATGTAGCAATACCAAGCGATTGCAACATCAGGAAAAAGGAGAAACTGGAGAAATACCAGGGCCTCAGGGAAGAACTGGAGAGGGCCTGGAAGGTGAAGACCACAGTGGTGCCTGTGGTCATCGGGGCCCTCGGGGCAGTAACCCCCAAACTGGAGCAGTGGCTACAACAGATCCCAGGAACAACATCAGACATCTCAGTCCAGAAATGTGCAGTCCTTGGTACAGCCAAGATACTGCAGGACCCTCAAGCTCCCAGGCCTCTGGTAGAGGATATATAGATCTATATATCCTCTGGTAGAGGACCCGAGCTCAGAGGATAAGAACCACCCGCGGTGGGTGAGAAGGGAATTATTTTTTTTATTTTTTAAACTTGAGATTAAAAGTAAAATTTTTGGTTTAAAAATTTTCAGTTGTGTAAAAAATTTTAAAGTAATTAAAATTTTTTTATGAGATTTGAAATTTTCTCTCAATGAAATTTCTTTTTCAGTTTCAAAAAGAATCTTTCAACAAACTTTGTGGCCCTAATGTAGCTCCGTATGTGGCCTGTTTTATCTGCCAGCTTTATGAGCTTCTGCAGGTTTTACTGCTGAAGTTCATCAGGGCTTCACTTCCTTTTCTTGTTTCTCTCTGAGATCAAAGTTCAGGCGCATTTCACTGCATCTGCTGTTTCCTGCAGTCGCAGATTAATCCAGATTATGGTTTTATTACCACAGGATCAAGAAATGGAAACTAGAAGCAGGGATGAACTTTGGGTGCAGAGTTTCTGCAGACTGATGGACTTCAGGTGGATTGGAGATGACCTTTGGCCTTTCCCTGTGACGTTGTGTGACCTGCCAGAGCAGGAAGTGAGAGTCAAGAAGAATCTGGCAGTTTGGTTCTTCTTCCTGCCGAAGCTTCGCTGTTTTCATCACTTCTGCTTTCTGGTTTAATTTTTAGTGGCTTAAAGCAGCAAAAGTGAAACCATGAAAGTAACTGACCCACTGCCTCCGGTTCCGATCCGGTTCTGGTCCGGTTTCAGATGATTACATTGGGAGAAATAAAGTAAAGGATCTGAAATCAGTCATAAAAGTTTAAAACTAAACTGGAAGCCAGAGTTTTGTTGACTCTGGACCCGTTTTGCATGTTTCAAAACCTCTGGGACCAAAAAACAGATGAACTCAGCAGAACCTCCATCTGACCCGCTGACGTCATGCGACACCGGCTCGGAACCGCCGGCCAGGTCCAGGACCAGGAGGCCTAACAACCTGACACGCTGTCAGCCCGGAGGTCAGGCTGCAGAACATTTCAGGTCCAGTTTCTGACCTCAAACAGAACCAGAACCCAAAACCCGCCAGCTGAAGACGGGTTCATGTTTTCACCATGCTGCTCGTTTATGTCAGCTTCAAACTTACATTTTAGTTACAAACCAAAATATTTAGCTTCTAAGTACATTAGCCTAGCAAGCTAAATATTGTTAGCAGGCTAAATAACTAGCTTTAAATATTTAACTTGTAGCCAAATATTTAGTTTGAACCAGTTTTTAGTTGAAAGCTTAAACATTTTACTTTCATATTTCGCTCAAAAACTTAAGTTTGCCAACAATATGTCTAGACTGAAACTGATATTTATGATAACTTGATCCATGTTTTCCTCTTGTAACGGATTAAATAAACCAAATTATTCATCTGTGTAATTTAATTGGCTCCTGCTGTTTTCACATGTTGACAAAGCAACAGAAAACTTTCAGGATGGAACTGATCTGAACTTTTTTATTCTCCAGATTGAAGAAAAACACAATTTCAGTTTCATTTAGAAAAAGGTACATTTATTAAATTAGTTACAGAATCTGACCCGACAGCAGAGGAAGAACCCGGTCAGAACAGAACCGACGAGGCGTTCAGGTGGTGAAATGTCTACATTCAGTCTGAGATTTCCCACGCTCCCCCACACCCTGAACGCCTCTCAGTTTCCTCCCTTCTTCTTCTTCTTCTTCACTTCCTCCTCCTCTCCTGCAGCTGGTTTCCTCTTGGTGGCCTCTTCCTCCTCCTCCACCTGCTCCATCCTGTCCCACACCTCGTCCTCCTCCTTTACCTGAGGCTCCGCCCCCTCCTCGGCCCCGCCCCCCGGGCCGGCCTGCAGTTCCCGACTGGCCAGCAGGAGGCAGGAGAGCCGGGACTTGAGATACACGCGATGCAGCGGCCGCCGGTCCTCCAGGCTGTGGACCCGCAGGAAGCGGTCCAGGCCGCAGGACGCCACG